TTGGGCGCCTCTTGGGCCATCTGAGGGCCCTCTTGGGCTGTTTTGGGGGCCTCTTGGGGGTCTCTTGGGTTGTCTTGGGGCGGTCTTTGGGGCCTCTTGGGCCGTCGTCAACGCCGTGAAAGGCGAAAAGCCGTATATGCTAAACATATACGTTTTCCTCTGAAAAATCGATGATGTTGGCCTCTTGGGGCCCTCTTGGGACGCCCCTTGGGCGACTCTTGGGTGCCTCTTGGGGGCCTCTTGGGCCGTCTTGGGCTCTCTTGGAGCGCTCTTGGGCCGTCTTGAGGGAGAATCCGAAAAACATGCAAAAACCCTAAGGAAAACCAAAACGGCAATTCAACCCATCCGCTTGCGCTACGCCCCCCCCTGGAACCCCCCCTTAGAGGCTTCGCCCAACACACAACGTCATCACTCGTACCTCGCTCTTTCCGTTACCTGGCCCGGCAGAAAAACGGAAAGAGCGCTTCAGAAACAGAAACCGAAATTACTCACACCACCGTCCGTACCGGGAGCCTTGGCGTTGAGAGCTTGTTACGTCACCCCTCGCTCTTGGGAGCCTTGGTGTTCAGAGATTGTTGCGGTGCCGCCCGTTCCTGAACCTTGGCTGGGCCTTGGTGTCAGGAACTTGTTACGTCACCGCTCTCTGCTGGGAGTCTTGGTCTTAGCAGCTTGTTTACGTCACCGTTCGCTCTTGGGAGCCTTGGTGTGAAGAGCTTTTTGCGTTACTTATCGCTCTCTATTTGGCGTCTCCGGGCCTTCTTGGGAGTCCTATTGGGGCCCTTTTGGGGGGACCTCTTGGGGGCCTCTTGGGGCTTCTTGGGGGTCTGTGGGGGCCTCCTGGGAGCGTCTTGGGGCGAAAAGCTCGACTTTTCGGTTCGTGGTCCCCCTCTTGGGGCCGTCTTGGAGCCCTCTTGGGCCGTCTTGGTCGCCTCTTGGGCCGTCTTGGGGCCCTCTTGGGCCGTTTGGGGGGCCTCTTGGGGGCCTCTTGGGCCGTCTTGGGGCGGTCTTGGAGGTCTCTTGGGCGTCGTCAGCGCAGTGAAAACCGAAAAGCCGTGTATGCCAAAAGTGTACCTTTCCCATCGGAAATCAATGAAATTGACCTCCTGGTGGCCTCTTGGGACGCCTCTTGGGGCTTCTTGGGGGGCTCTTGGGGCCTCCTGGGTGCGTTTTGCGGCGATCGGCTAGACTTTTCGGTTCGTGGTCCCCCTCTTGGGGCCGTTGTGGGGCCCTCTTGGGCCGTCTTGGGCGCTTTTTGGGCCGTCTTGGGGCCCTCGGGCCGTTTGGGGGGCCTCTGGGGAGCCTCTTGGGCCGTCTTGGGGCGGTTTGGGGGGCCTCTTGGACCGTCGTCAGCGCAGTGAAAGCCGAAAAGCCGTGTATGTTGAAAATGAAACTTTTCGATGGGAATTCCATGATGTTGGCCTCTTGGGGCCATTTTGGGGCCCTCTTGGGACGCCCCTTGGGAGCCTCTTGGGGGCCTCTTGGGCCCCTGGGATGGTACGAATTCAAATTTACGATACCGGTTCCCCGGGGATGGTACGAAGTCAAACTTAGGATGGACGATGGGGCAGAATCAGATGTAATTTGCAGTACGAAAAAAGCAATCGATCACCCTGGGGGGGGAAAGCCCATTCTCTTTTCAAACAGGAAAAGGATTTTAACAAACGAGTTGACACATCCCATGCTCTTGCAAACATCCCACCCACCCACCCGCAACTTGCTTCGCAAAACCCATGCGGTGGCGATTGCGATGCATGCTTGGCGTTGGCTGGTGCATATCTGCGGCCGCGCCAACCCTAGCACGCGCGCAGCGGCCAGCTAGTTTGGCGCCGCCGACACGGCCGCGGTGGCGCTGACCGCTGGGCACATCCCAGCGGGCACTTCACTGCGAGTCGGCGACTTGGGCGGGCGCGGTATCATGGCAGCGCCGACAACGGTAGACACAATGCTGATCGTAGCGATACTGGTGACGACGTTGGCACCGACGAAAGCGCGGCCAGTGCGGGCGCCGATGCTGATGACGCCGACGACGAAGACGGCGTCCTCGCGTCGGTGATGAAGGTTTTGGAAAGAGTTCGACATGCGCGCGCGGCCGACGCGCGAGAGTGGCCCGCGCGGCTTTGTTTGACACGGATCGTGCCCGCCTCCAGCACGCGCGCAAGGGCGCGCGAATGATATCGGCATGCGGCGCCAGAGGCCCGTTTGGCAGAATTCAAAGAAAATTGTGAAGCAAACCGTATGGTTTTATAAGAACGCGCAAGAGCGCGAGCGCACGCTTGCATGAAAACTGATGTTGCGAAGCCATGTGTTTTTGTATGCGTGTGTTGGACATTCGGTTTTGAAATTGCTACGAAACCGCAACTGTGTTCACTGATTTCGGCATGCGCGCGCGACGTCGCGCGCGCGTGCACTTCGTCTCGTTTTCTGCAAAGGACTCTCGCGACGGCACGCGCCCAAGGGCTTTCGAACGATTTCGACATGCGCTCGCGCGCGAAACCCTTTTTGGTAGCATTTGCTGAACATCTTGACACACACATGGTTTGCTTAAGAATTCGCAAGAACGCGCGCGTTTGGTTTGATTGTTTCTTTTTGGTTTGTCCATCCGTGTTGCAAAACCATGTGCTTTTATACGATTTTTGGACACTCAATTTTACATGTCTTACGAAACCTCGGGTGTTTTGAAGGATTTCGGCACGCGCGCGCGACAACGCCCGCGTGCACACTTCGTTTCTTTTCTGCAAGGGATTATTGACCACATCTGATGTTCGATGAACGAATGCGCGCGCATAACATTTTTTGCAAAGGACGGCGGGGGGGGGGGGGCGATGGCGGCCTGCCTGACATGACATGGGTTCGGATGTAGGATGGACGCTGGGGCAGAATCATATGTAATTTTCAATACGAAAAAGGGCGTCGATAATCCCGGGGGGGGAGTCTTTTCCCTTTGAAAGGAGAATCCATTTCGGGGCGGCGACGGCGGCAACATAGCTGCCAGACCGACTGACAGGCCCAGGTACGGGCGGCGGCGAGGCGGCGACAGGGCGGCGACGGGGCGGCAACATAGCCGCCAGACCGACAGACATACCCAGGTGTGGGCGGCGACGCCGACAGACAGGCCGAAGTGCGGGCGGCGACGAGGCGGCGGCGACGGCGACAACATGGCCACCAGACCGACAGACAGGCCTGATTCCCTAAGAGTATTCGCTGAGAAGCAAGAAACCCTAGGTGCAAGCACCGTTTGTGAAATAGCTACATACGCACATACGCACCTACACACTTACATACACATACCTATACGACCACCCTTCGGGTGACCAGGAGGTTGCGGGGTGGGGGAGGAACAAACCAACTGCTGGCAAATGCGATGGGTGTGATGATGGCGGTGCTGGTGACGCGCCCTCGAAGTAGCGACAACGCGTGATGACGATGTTGCGCTGTTCGTAATGTCACTATCGCCCCCGCGTTCGATCTCACTCGAACGATCCCACAATCGACCTCACGGCCAGTCTTAATACCTCACTATCGACCGATCGGTATCACTATCGATTCCTCGATCGATCTCACTATGGATCTCAAAAGCAATGGATTTCATAACCAATGTCACAATCAACCTCACTGTCGATCTCACTTTTGATCTCACAATCCATCCTATTCTAACGATCTCATTCTCGATCTGACTATCGACTTCACTATCGATGCCAAGGCGGGACACTCCCAGCCACCGCCCGCCCATCCCCGACGGACGACCGACGGGACACCAAGGGGACACCACAGGACACCAGAATCGCCCTAGCGACGGCTGGGTCATTCCTCTCGCGCGCCCGCGCAGCTTCGCCTCGCCCGCACGCGCAACACGAAGGCGAAACCGAAACCGATTTCCTGGTGGGGAGCCCTCCGTTCGTTAGCGATCTCACCACCCAACCTCTGACACATAGCATGCATGTGAGAATATATATATATATATATATATATAAATACATACATACATACATACATACATACATACATACATACATACATACATACATACATACATACATACATACATACATACATACATACATACATACATACATACATACATACATATATACTATATATATAGAGAGAAATACCAAAATTACGATCCTGCCCCGCCCCCGTCATTCTGATACCTTCGGCCTCGTCCCTCCTCCCCTGGGTCCCCCCCCCCTGTGGGTGTGACGTGGTGCCCCCCATCACATCGATGGACGACGATCGATAAACCGATGGGTGAATGGATGGATCGAGGATCGATCGAGGAGGGGGGGGAGCGCAACGGGGAAGGAACAGGGATCGACGGGAGGATCGAGGATGGAGGCTCGACCATGGAGGATAGATCGAGGATCGAGGAACGAGCTTGAAAGACCGAGGATCGAGCAGGCGACGATGGCGTCTTCTCCGCCGTCACCTTCCTGTGAGTGTGGCGTGGTGAGGGTGCTTCAGGGAGCGAGGGTCGTCGGCCTCCAGGAGAGGTCTCAAGGTGGTCCACTGTCGTCGTCGTCGTCGTCGTCGTCGTCGTCGTCGTCGTCGTCGTCGTCGTCGTAGTCCACCACCATCCCATCTGGGGGGGGGGGGAGGGCCCGAGGGACCATGGGAACCATTCCATGCTGGAGGGGAAGGGGGGGCCAGGGCCCCAGAGCCCGGGATCACGTGTGCAGAATGCGTCTCTCGGGGAGGCGAGCGGGCGATCACTTCCGCCGGCGGAGCGGTCCTCGCTCTGCCTCCGCCGGCCTCCGCCGGCCCTCCGCCGAAGAGGGAGAGGGCGGCCTCGCCGTCCGTCAGAGGCGGGGCCCCTGGGGGGGAGGGCCCCACGCACGTGCACAGGAGTGCGAGCGCACGTGCACGCCACACCAAGTCCACGATGCGCACGTGAGGCTCGCGTGGCTCGCCCGTGGCTCTCGAGGCACGAGCTGGCCCGCTGCCACGCCCCAGGCTGCCGCGGAGTCCGGGGCGCAGCCCTCCGCCCCTCCCCAGGCTTTTTGTCCCGATCTGGCGGGCCGGGAGTGCCATTCAAGCTGGGAGGCCCGCCGATCCAAAACGAGGGAAGAAGTGGCGCGCAGGACGCGCAGCTGCGGGCGCGCCGTGCGCCAAGTCTCACGCGGCACCGGAGTTGGCCTCCGCCGTGGCAGCCTCCTTGGGGGAACAAGACGATACGGTCGAAGCGCGGCCAGAAGAACGTGGGTGAAACCCATGGAGATACCAAACACGAAGAGGCTTCCAAGGTGGAGGCCCCAAACTGGGGAGACCAAAAGGAATCGATGCAGCTACTCCCTGGACCTCTCGCGGGGTGCGTTCTGACCAGAACTTCGAGGCGAATCCAGCGGTGGCGACGAGGGCCTTCCCAGGAGGCCGAACAAGGGGAGAATGGGCAAAGGGTAGCAGTATGGTGGGTACCCTCTTCTCCTCTGACAAACATCCCCGAACACGAAGAACACGAGGGCACCCCTGCAAAGCCAGGGTCGAGCTTCATCCTTGTGCCATAGGTGCCGACGACTCTATCTAAAGGACCCAAAAGGGGGTCCAGCGACAAAGGGGTGGTGCAATAGATTTTGTGGAATATATTTGTGGAATTGCAATAGATTTGGGGCGTGCAGTACATTCCGGGGCGCAAGTGTATTGCTGGTTTTCGCGTGCAAGACAGTAGTTGCACTACAATGCAATACAAGTCTCTGGCGCAATACATCTGCAATACAAATTGCTCCAAATCTATTGCACCACCCCCTTTCAGCTGGACCCCCTGTTGGGTCGCAGGGAACGACGTCGCCCACGGGGAGCACTGTAACCAGGAGCGGATCCGGCCGAGGCGCTGCCTGGACCCCTCGCCGGGCGCGCTCGGACCAGGAGCCCGAGGCGACTCTGGCCGTGGCGGCGCGAGGGGGGGGGGCCCAGGAGGCCAGAGAGGTCGAAGACGAGGGAGGGAGGAGGAGAGGAGGAGGAAGAGGAGGAGGAGGAGGAGGAGGAGGAGGAGGAGGTGGAGGAGGAGGAGGAGGAGGAGGCCATCTGACTACCTTACCAGGCCACCCCAACCCAACCCGAAATCCCAGGTTTCGGGTTCTGGGGGGCGGGCACGGGTTCTGTCTGTGCTTTTGCCAGCGTTCCCGGATGCCCCCGCCCCCCCTGGGGATGGAGGGCAACTTGGGGCCTTCGGGTTGGGTTGGGGTGGTTCTGTGGGTAGTGGGCACCGGCATCGGCATCTATAATGCAGATGATGATTAGGAGACGCCCGAGCGGCCAAGTCACGCAGCAGCGCCCTGGGCGATGATTCATAAGCTGGGTTCCTCACCTGCTCACTGATATTATTTGATCGCCCTGTCTAGAAACTCGCCCAGCGGCAAGAAACTGCTTGCTCAATCGCTTCCCACCTCACATGTTTGTCTTCATCGCCATCCTGCATGACGCTTTCTTCTCCCCCGACCTCCGACCTCGTGATGTGTTTCGCAACGTGGTGTCATGGAAGACTTGACCCCTTCCCCAGGGCTGGCTTTTCATCCCGAGACGGCCTGGTGGGGACCCTTGGAGGCCGAGCATGGCAAACAACCCGCCGCCGTGTGCTTTCTTACAAGGACGAGATCTGGATTCTCCCTCCCCGCTGCGCCACCCTGATGGGCACTCCGCAGACAGGGGCTGCGGTCGACGCAGCGAGGTGGGGCTTTCCCGCCTCTCTCCTGCGCTATCCCGCGCGAGAGCTGCTCTTTCCTGCCACTTCCCTGAGCATCCCTGTTCGCTGCCGACGTACAATCAAGCTGCCACTGTAAGGAACGCCAGGTAGGGAACGAAGCACCTCCTTGGCCCCAAGAGAGTGTGGGTGCACGAGGAGCGCTAGAGGAACACCCAGACGAGGACCCAAATAACAGCGATCCCCTTTCGCACCCGACCAGTTTCTCACGTCAGCATCTTGGCTGTGCCCGCTGACATCCGCCGATCTGCGACTTCTTGGACGTTGTCAATGTGCGGCCCCAGAGGCTCCCACCGCTTCCCCGGGGATGTCAGCTTCGTCCCAGGTCCGCGATTCTGATGGCCCATGGGCCCGATAGCGGTCTGCGAGGGCCGAGCATCGAGGAAAAAACGTGGCTTGAAATTAGCCTGGCGAGGCACCTAACCACATGCAAAGACAGATGGACACGAAGGGAAGGGGCTAGCAAAAGGACTAGGACGTGCGTGGGAAGGGCGGAGCGATGCTGCTGATGGGGTCGCGGGGGTCGGCCGTCACGGTTACATCTGGATGTAAGCTGTCACGGCTGATCTGCGCGTCTGTCGGCGCGGCCCTGGCAGCATGCGGCGGGGTCTTGGGTGGAGCTCCCTATGGGGCCACGAAGCGTGCAAGAATTGCGTTGGAATGGCGTGGACCAGGCCTGCGAACCCAGACTGTTGAGCCTTGGGTGGAGCTCCCCATAAGGCCACGAAGCGTGCGTGGTGTGTGAAGGGGGCCCTGAGACACACAAACAGATAGACACAATGAACAAGATTCCCCATCTTTTCCCGTATGTTCTGGGTTTTTGTCTTCCCCACCACTTCCCATACTTTCCCATTTCTTGGGGGGAACCGACGATGAATTGCGCCTGTGTGTTTTTTGTTCCCTCCTGAGTGTGTGCCGACATGGCGTGTGCAGAAGGTCTGCGGGCCCAGCCTTGTGCCACTGGGGCACGACACGTGTGAGCGGTGTGCCGAAATCAACATGCGGAGGGCAGAGGCAAGGATTAGGTCGGGCGTGTCCACCTACAGTCAAGCACATGATTGAGAAAATTATCAATTAAGAAAGCTGAGCCAGCTTTTCAGAAGTTTCTTGAGGAAACGCTGGGGCAGCTCGTGGAGCCAGGCACGTACACCAGTGTACATTATTCATTTCTAGTTCCCAATCCCCTCAAGAAACTGAGCCAACGTTCCGGCAAGTTGGTTAAGAAACGCTGGGCCAGCTTTTCGGGGGGAGGTTTCTTAATCATAAGCGGGACCGTACAGGGGGATTTGGGATGAAAAATCAAAAATCCTCAACACATGCACTAAATCAGTCAAGAATTGTCAAAGGGCCCGACACCGTTGGATGGTTGGGAAGAATACACCGTCGGAGACCTGCGTTGTCCCGGAGTCCTCCCAAATGCGGTCGGAATAAATGGGGTCGGAGGAGATCGCACCGCACCGCCGATGCACCGCCGATGCATCGGCGATGCACCCGCGACGTCGGCGATGCGTCGGCGATGCGTCGGCGACGCGTCGGCGTGGAGGAAATCGGGCTCCAGATCGAGCCGCAACCCCGCGACTCCGTCTCTCTTCCCCCTCGACCCCACTTGCTCGGACCCCGCGCGGGAGGCCTGGGCGCCCGCCTCGGAGGCACCGTGAACCCCCCCGCTCCTGCTCCTGCTGCGGCGCCGGCCCGGCGTCCTCCGCCAGCCGCGGCAGCGGCTCCTCCGAGACGCCGGCCTCCGCCGCCGCCGCGGCCCCCGCCGCCGCTGCCGGGGTGGCCTCCGCGAGCGGCGGCGGCCGCGCGTCGGCCGCGGGCTGCTCGGGGCCGGGCGCCCGGCCGGCTGCGTCGAGGAGCGGCAGCGCCTCCGCGGGAGCGGGCTGCGGCGGCTGCAGGGCGCCGGCCTCCGCCTCCGCTGCAGGGGGGGCCGGGGCGGGCTGCGGCGGCGGCTGCCGCGCGCGGGCCGCGGGCTCCTCCTGCGAGGCGGAGGCGATGTGACCGGTCTTCGACCGGCTCGAGGTTCGAGGTTCGAGGCTCGAGGTCGGGAGGCCCTCGATCGTCCTGGAGTCCTTCGTGGCCACGGCTGGGTCCGCTTCGAGAGTCGAACGCACCCTGGGCGAGGTCGGGGGAAGATTTTCGGCCTTTCTCCAACGAGGCTGAAGTCGGGCGTGCCCCCCTACAGTGGGGTTTTGGACGGAAAATGGAAAATACGCGAAACATGCTCAAAAATAGTCCGACAAAAGTAGCCGAAAAATCGTCCCCAGACTGTTGTTTTTCTATTTTGTGATAGTCCTCCTGTAGGGGGACAGGCCCGACTTAAGACGAGGCCCTCGAGGACAACAGCGTCCCTCCTTGGCGATGTTCGTCCTAGGGGAGGGGTCCAAGGACAACTTTTGAACGGATTTGGGCTGGGCAAGGAGTTGCAACCGCCGGTTCTTCCGTCATTTCGGCCCTCGGGGGCCATCTGCGGGCCCCGCAGGCCATCCAAACCGGATCCTGGGCGAAAGGCTACTCCCAGGGAGGCGGTCGGGACCTCTGGGGCCGAGGATTGAAAACATCGAATGGGCGGATGCCAGGTTCCATAACCACCGCCGGGGGGATCCACCTTCGGGGGCCTCGGCAGGCGGTGGGTATGGATATTTTCGGGGACCCTGGGGCCCAGAGATGGCCACATCCACCGCCGCCTGGGGCCCCATGACATCCTTTCCCCAGTCGGTGGATATGGATACCACCATCATGCTACCATAAGAAACGCTGATACCCAGGTGTCGGACGATGTGCTTGCTTCAATTCCAAAAGGTCTCGGCTACTTCCCCGGTGGCACCCTTTCTTCCCGGATCCGCTTCGGATGGCCCTGGGGCCCGACAGCGGGCCCCAGAGGCCGAAATCGAGGACAGTCGCACCGACTGAAACAAAAATCATCGTCGGAGATCTGGGGGCACGGGTAGATCCCCATCCCGCTCCTCTGGGCCAGGCGCCCCACCGTCTCCGTCGTTACAGCGCTTTGGAATTCAATATCCAGCCAATCTCTGTCGGGCAGCGCTTTGTGAATTCAAGAGCCGCCTTATGACTTCAAGACCCCGTCTTTTGAATTCAAGAGCAGTCTTCTGAGTCCGGAGATCTGGGAGTATTGATAAAATCCCCATCCCGCTCCTCTGGGCCGGGCGCCCGACCGCCTCCGTCGAGCTCCTGCTGCGGCGCCGGCCCGGCGTCCTCCGCCAGCAGCGGCAGCGGCTCCTCCGAGACGCCGGCCACCGCCGCCGCTGCTGGGGTGGCCTCCGCGAGCGGCGGCGGCTGCGCGTCGGCCGCGGGCTGCTCGGGGCCGGGCGCCTGGCCGTCTGCGTCGAGCAGCGGCAGCGCCTCCCGGGCGGCGACGCTGTAGGGGGGGGGGGGGGAGGGGAGGGGGGGACCCGCACAGGGGGGGAAGACACCGAGCTAGACTTGGCGACACGTCGCCAGTCGATCGCCGCTGTGCCCCCGACAGCAGCAAATTCGCACGGGCCTGGGCGAGGTGAGTGAGCTACAGGACTCGGCCTGACCTAGGGAACGATCGATAAGGAACGCAGCCCCTTTTTTGCCAAGTAAGTCGACGAGGTCCGAAGGAACGGACCCGCGCGTCCCAAATCTGAAGGAACACCAGGGGGGCCCGCCGCCAAGCAGGTAGCGGGACGCATGCAAACCACAGGAACGACCGAGCCCCTTTTGAAAAGTATGTGAGTGCTCCTTAGTCAAGCCGCATCCTGCATCGGCGATGAATCTGGGCGACGGGCCTACCTTTGCCCCCTCGTCTTCTGGTCACAGCTCCGCTCTCCGGCGGCCGCTCGGGACGATCTGGGCACCCCCGGTGCGCTGACGGCAGGGCGCAGCTGCTGGAGAGAGCCCCGGGTCTGGAAAACCGCCGCGGACCTATACGAAAACGCCCGAACACTTCGAACTTCGATCCCGAAACCACCCCCCTTTGAGCCGATCCCCCCTCACCCTCCCTCCCGACTTCCTATCCTCCGTACGTTCGGCGACATCGCAAATACGGCAGAGATGTCCCCCCGAACCTCTCATTACTGTTCACTGCCGGGGCGTCTGATCACTTCAAGACGGGCTTGCCCGGGGATTTGCCGAAGGGGGGATGCAGTCTTCCCGCTTGACTCTCGACCACGTCTCCGACAACGGCGTCTCATCCTGAGTCGATTTTGACGGCCGTGGAGGGGGCCAGAGGCCGAAAATAGGCAACGAACGCGCGTCGTACATTTTTTGTCCCCGACGCGACGGCCCGGAAAGGCACAGAGCCGCCCGAGCTCTTCGAAGCCTCGAAGCCTCGAGCTGGCTGTTCGGGGAGGCGCCGCTAGTTGCAAAAATCGCATCGTCGGAGATCTGGGCTTCCGCCCGCCCAGAAGTCCTCCCGTCGGAGATCTTCTGACCCCGGTCAATCCAGACCCCGGTCAATCAGGCCTTGCAGAATCCTGCAAGATCCTGCGCCCAAAGCCGGGTCAATGCGAAGGATCCTGCAAGATCCTGCAGGATCCTGCGCCCAAGCCCGGATCGACGCGACCCTGGCCCTGCAGGATCCTGCAAGACCCAGCACTCTGGCTGACCCCCGTTTGCATTGAACCCGTCTCTTGAGCCCCGATCCCGCTCCGCCTCGGGCTCTCCGGGGGCGGGCCCTGTCGCGGTGACGTTCGCTGCCACGGCGTCGCCCTCGGACTGCGCGCCAGCCTCGGCTGTCGTCGTCGTCGCCGTCGTCGTCGTCGTCGTCGTCGTCGGCGTCGTCGTCGTCGTCGGCGTCGTCGTCGTCGTCGTGGGCGTCGGCGTCGGCGTCGGCGTCGGCGTCGGCGTCGGCGTCAGCGTCGGCGTCGGCGTCGGCGTCGGCGTCGGTGTCGTCGGCGTCGTCGTCGTCGCCGTCGCCGGCGTCGTGGCCGTCGTCGTCCTGCAGGCCCCCGGCGGGGCGCCCGCCTGCGCCTCTGGGGCGCCGCCCGTCGCGCCCTCCTCGGTAGGGGCCCCCTCGAAGTCCCCGACGACGACGACGACGACGACGACGACGACGACGACGACGACGACGACGACGACGACGACGACGACGACGACGGGCAAAAGAGGGCGGCACAAAGGAGGAGGAGGAGGAGGAGGAGGAGGAGGAGGAGGAGGAGGAGGAGGAGGGGGCGGGAGGCCAAAATGGGGGCACCCGGGGCTCTGGAGGAAACTGCTGGAGGCCGCGCGCGGCAACCTTAGACCCAGGCTACGTCGGACCCACGTCGAGTTCACGCCGGGCTGCGCCAGAGCCAAATCGGGTTCACGCCAGACCTACGTCGGAACGTCGCCGCGCAAACGTCGTCCCATATATCTGACGGGGCGGACGTGCGAAGATACACCTACGGCGGGCGGCGCGAGACCTCCGCCAAGAGTTCCCCCCCACAACTGACCCTTCCCAAAGCCCGTCGCGTCGTGAACACGTAGCGACGGGCATTTTCCTGGGCATTGTCGGTCTCTGGGGGGCTCTCGCCGGTCCCCACGGCCATCGACAAACTACTCGGGAGGAAAAGCCAATCCCGGGGAAGGGGTCCCGAACACGGGGCTTCGAAGATTGCTGGCGGTTTGACGTTCTTTGTTCGGGGGGGGGTCTCCTGCCCGGAGCTCCGACGCTGTAATTTCTTATAGCCGGCGGTCTTGTGTGGATTTGCTACATTTCTGAAATTCGGCGGCACCCCTCACGCAGATCCGTAGGGTCAGGGTCCAACACATGGGATGTGCCACATTTCTGGAATTCGGCGGCACCCCTCACGCAGATTCGTAGGGTCAGGGTCGAAAAACAAACAGGTCCCGACACTGCTTCACGGAGGCGCCCAGACCTCATGACTCACATGCCGTCCCTGGGGAAGCGGTCGGGACCTCTGGGGCCGCGGATCGAAAATAAAAATCAGACTGGCGGATATCCAAACCAGATCGGGGTGGGGGGGGGGGTATGTGTTTGTAATCTTTCTCGTGCGTCTTGGCCCTTCTGTGAGGCCTCCTGGGGGCTCCTCGTCGCCATGGTTGGAGCCGCCTCGAGCTCCTGGCCAGAACGCCCGCCGACAGACAGGCGGTGGAGACCCACAAGGTACCCCCCGGGCCTGGACAGGCATCTCGGCGAAGGCAGAGGCGGCCAGCTGCTGGCCACTGCGTGGCCTCCACGGGCGAGCTTCCCAGACCTCCTCGCGCTGTGAACAAAAATCACGACGGGAGGTCTTTCAGTATCTTCGGCCTCCGGGGACCCTGGCTTCCCAGACCCCCGCGGGCAATGAAAAACTCATGACGGGAGGTTTCTCGCTATTCTCGGCCTCCAGGGGCCCTTACCGGGCCTCAAGTGAAGTGTAAATCAATAGTGTAGTCGATTTTCCCGCGAAGCGTGGAGCACAACCGTGCGAGCCGCAAGCTGCTGACAGTGTACGGGGTGGGGAATAGAGAAAACCATCATGCTACGCTGGGTGCGTGTACAAGTCCGTGCAAGAAGTTCAAAGCATCCTCGAGAGCAACCACCGCGGGAGAGAAAGACGAAGGGCGAAGAAAAAGCACACCCCTGGGAACAAAGAGGTCGAGTCGCGAGCTCCAGGGGCCCGTGCCTCCCAAAGCAAATAGAGCTGTGGCATCGGAGGCCCGGGGCCTTGCCCCCCCAAAACCCCAAGACACCGGCGCCCCGATGCTTCTGCTCGACGCGTGGGGCGCCCCTTGCCTCGACAACGAGGACAATCAACGACAACGATCAACGATGACGATAACAGTCGCTATCATTACCGTTGGGTCGGGCGTGTCCCCCTGCAGGGGGGCTTTGCACGAAAGATAAAACACAAAATCCCCAACGTACCACACAAATGGCAACACATGATTTAAAACATCGCCCCGAGATTATATGTTTGACTCTTTTTTGCATGTTCCCCCCTGTAGAGGGACAGGCCCGACTTAATGTTATTGCTGTGACCGTTGCCGACGCCTCTCCCCGGGGGCTGCCCTTCCGCCCACTGGCCATCGCTCGGACGTCCATTCCCTATGTTTTTGTTCGGTTTCGTGCGTGGTTTTTTCGCCAAATGATCAAGGATGCTCCTCGATGGTCCTCGCCGAAGGAAAAAAACGCACACGTCCGAGCGATGCCAGGGGCCCTTACCGGGCCTCAGGACCGTCAAACAACGACTCAGGACGAGAAACCGGTCCCGGGGAAGGGGTCCAGACCTCTGGGGGTCGACGTTGTGAAAAAATCACGAACGATCCAGGGCTCGAACAGGGGATCGACTGCAGACTCGATTCGCTCCAAACTTGATCTCCCCGCCTACTGAATATACCGGAGGCGCGCAGACTGTTCGCAGGTCTACGGGACATTCTACGCTTTTTGTCTCGTAGATTCGGCGGGGAAGACAAGTCAAGTGTATCGTAGGTTCGGCGGGGAAGACGAGTCAAGTGCAAATCAATAGTGTAGTCGATTTTCCCGCGAAGCGTGGAGCACAACCGTGCTAGCCGCAAGCTGCTGACAAGGAAAAACGCACACGTCCGAGCGATGCCAACTCCACGGGCCGCTCCCCGACGGCCCCCGAAGGCCCGAGGCCGGGGCCCGGGGCGCCCATGAGCTCCGGCGCGCCCGCCCTGCTCCCGACGCGGCCCCCCCAAGAAAAAGGCCCAGGCCGCCGGGCACCGGGGGGACGGGCCGCCTCCTCCTCCTTGCTCTTCCTCCTCCTCCTCCTCCTCCTCCTCCTCCTCCTCCTCCTCTCCTCCTCCTCCCTCCTCCTCCTCCTCTCTCCTCCTCCTCCTCCTCCTCCTCCTCCTCCTCCTCCTCCTCCTCCTCCTCCTCCTCCTCCCCCCCCTCCTTCTCCTCCTGCTCCTCCTCCAAAAAAGGTCCAGGCCGCCGGGTTGGCCTGACGGGGCCAGAAATCAAAAAAGACGAGGCCCACTCTGAAATTTGACGCGAGTTCCCGCTGCAGACGTCCTGCGAAAACTGGACCGCCAGAGTCCAGGGCGCGATCGTCAGAAAACGTCGGCAAACCCGGGTTCCGGCTCACTCGAGTCTTACAGACCAGAAGCGAAATGACACCACTCCACCTACGGCACGACGGTGCTGGAATTTCAAGCACTTGCTCCGTGCCGCCTCGGCTTGTCATCGCGAAGAGCCCGCAGTGGTGTCGGGAAGCCACCACGTGAACCTATCTTCTTAGAGGAAGAACAACAAATACATAATTAAGCATTTCGCGCTGGACCCCCCTCCCTGGCGCGCGGAGCGCGCCAGGGTCGGCGCCAGAGGCGCCGCCAGGGGGGTCCCAGCGCGGATCCAAGAAATCCGCGCGGAGCGCCAAAAGTTTATGCTTATGCATTTTCTGGGGGAATGCAAGATCTTACGCTTCCCCGGGAGAAGAGGCCCAGGCCTGCCCTCGACCCGCACCTGCCGCACCTTCCGCGCGGCAGGGGTGCCGCGCCGTGGCGAGCCCCGCCGCAGCGGCGGTGGCCACGCCGCGGCCACGCCGCCTGCCGCGCGGAAGGTGCGGCGAGTGCGGGCCGACGGGGGCTCAGAACTCCGACGGCTACTCCGAGCTTCTTAATATATAGAGGAAGAAACAGCCACGTAGACATAAACGTTTGGCGCTCTTCCACATTTCTTGGATCCGCGATGGACCCCCCTCCCTGGCGCGCGGAGCGAGCCAGGGGCGGCGCCAGAGGCGCTGCCGGGGGGCCCAGGCGCGGATCCAAGAAATCCGCGCTGAGCGCCAAAAGTTTATGTTTATGTGGTTTTTTCTTCTTCGATCATAAGCGTCGGGGGGGCATCACCCCGACCGACAGCCCCACATCGACCCCCGTCGCGGGCAGCCACCGCGCGCCGAAGGCGGTCCGACCCCCGTCGCGGCGCGACGACGAGGCGAGGTTGACCACGTCGGGGGGGTACCCCCCACGCTCATGAAGAGACTAAGAGTAGGCCTCTGCACGACGCGGACCCCGCAGAGGTCTGGACCCAAATCACTCGCCAGTGCCGGTTCTCCATAACTGCCGAGCCTTTCTCTGACGGCCCCGAGGCACGACACCAGCCTCCAGAGGCCAAGGCCGACGACTGACCAGCCGCTCCGCTTTTGTTCTTAAAAGACAGCGTTTCTTCTGTGGGCGCTGAGCTGCGACAGATATCCCACACTCTCCTCCCAAACAGGGACCCCTACCCCCCCGAGGCTCGAAAGCGGCCTCCGGATGGGCCCACCGTCGCTACAGAACAGGCGCCTGCATTCCTGGGCATCCGCCCATCTGTAATTCTCAGTCCGCGGCCCCAAGAAGTCCTGACCGCTTCCCCGGGGCCCAGTCTTCGTCCCGGCCATTGTTGTTGCATCGCCCTGCAGGGCCCGATCGCCTGCCCCAGAGGCGTCGAGGCCGAAGGAGAGCGCAAAGCACACCGCCGGAGCTCCGGGCTTGTTCGGGGCGCAGGGCCCTGAGATCCGACGCATAGCGGGAAAATGGCAACGCCGTAGAGAGTCACGCCCCGAAGTCCTAGACCCCAGATTTCTGCGCCATGTTTCGGGCCGGATCGATCTGTGGGGGCCCCGGGGCCCGAAAAGAGGCGGAGGTACCAGGCTCCCGAAAAAAATTGAGGCGCCAGGGTCTCAGGGGATGTCTGAGCGGTTCCGCGGCGGGCTCCTCCGCGGCGGCCCCCGGCTGCGGCGCCGTGTCTCCCGTCGTGGAGTTGGCCTCCCGCGTGCGAGCGTCCCCGTCGACTGCGTGCGGCGCCCCGGCGCCGTTCAGGCAGGGCATCGGGCAGAGGCCACCCCTCTCCTCTCGGCTGCACGCAGGAGTGGCCCTGCGCCCAGATCTCCGACGATCCGATCGCTTCAACTTGCGCTGCTGTCCTCGACGTCGGCCCCCCGGGGGCCATTTGCGGGCTCACTGGGGCCATCGATAACGTAGCCAGAGGACGAAGAGCTGCCCCCCCAGGGAAGTGGAGGTGGCCTCTCGGGACGCGGACCGACGAAAAGTTCGGATCGGCAGATGTCAGGGATCTCTGGTGCGCAGCGTGCGGATCGCTGCGCACTGTGCGACTATGGCGGGCCGCGCGCTTGGGTTCGGAGCCCCCCCGCGCCCCAGGAAGGCGGCGCACCGAAGGTCACCCCGGCGGAGGAGCACTCTGCCATCGACCTGCACCTTCCGCACCTGCCGCGCGGCAGGTGCCGCGGCGGCCGCCGCGGCTGCCTGGCGGCGGCAGCTTCCGCGCGGACGGTGCGGAAGACACAGGTCGAGGGTGCACGTGAAGCCGATCCTTGTGGAGGTGCGCCTGGAACTCCTGGAAGGAGGAGCTCCCCGAAAGGCCGGCGTACCTACAGAGGATCACAAAGCGACACCGGCACAACCTTTGCCGGAGGCCCTTGCAGGCTCGGCGGTGGATGAGCTCGACGAACCAGAGGGGCAGCAGGGGCAGGAGGGGGGGGAGGAGGAGGAAGAGGAGGAGGAGGAGGAGGAGGAGGATGAGCTCGACGAACCAGAGGGGCAGCAGGGGCAGGAGGGGGGGGAGGAGGAGGAAGAGGAGGAGGAGGAGGAGGAGGAGGGAGGCGGAGGAGGAGGAGGAGGAGGAGGAGGAGGAGCAGGCGAAGCAGAGCAGGAGCAGAGGCGGAAAGGCAGGAGGAGGAGGAGGAGGAGGAGGAGGAGGAGGGAGGAGGAGGAGAGGAGGAGGAGGAGGGGAGGAGGAGGAAGAGGGAGGAGGACACCGTCTTCCTCGCACGAGGGGGAAAGGCATGTCGACCCTGCGTCGTCCCCACGGCCGGCGCGGAAGGTGTCCGCCGCGAGCGCCGCAAGGCTGACATAGCGCGGCACCTGCCGCGCGGCGGGGAGTGCGGAAGGTGCAGGTGAGGGGGAACGAGGAGGAGGAGGAGGAGGAGTAGGAGAGGAGGAGGAGGAGGAGGAGGAGGAGGAGGAGGAGGAGGAGGAGGAGGGGGAGGGGGAGGAAAAAGGAGGAGGAGGAGGGAAGAGGAGGAGGAGGAGAGGAGGAGGAGGAGGAGGAGGAGGAGGAGGAGGAGGAGGAGGGGGACTGGCTCACTGGAGGGGAGCATCGAACTGGCATCGGCGGCGCCTCGCCGAGAGGTGGGCGGCAGGCCCTCGACAGCGAAGACGCCCGCTCACGGGCCGGGTGGGGCGCTCGGGCCCCGGGCGGCGAGGAAGCACGGGCGATTCCAGTAGGGGATCGGCTACAGAACTGGCTTGCCCCCAAATTGGCTCTCTCGTCGAATCGAAAGACAGAACATATGCAGAGGTCCCCGTAGATTCGCGAGCATTCCAGGTCTTCGTCGCAGCTTCGATGGGGAATCAACTCTGGGGCGAATCAGCTCTGCAGTCGATCCCCTACTCGGGCGACTGGGGGGGCCGATGCTGCCCCTCCCCCGGGGGCCAATCCCCCCCCAAAAAATGTTGGCCCCCGGTTTTCGGATCACAACGCGGCTCTCCGCCGGCCGCTCGGGACGCTCGCGCACCCCTGGAACGCCATCGGCGAGGCGAAGCCGCTGGAAGGCACCCCGAGGCCAGCAAACCGCCTATAGGACCCACGAACACGCAGGCAAACCCCGAACGTCAACCCCCCCTCACCCGGAGCCAGCTCCCCTCCCCCTACTGGCCAGTCCCCCCCTGGGCCACGGCGTGGACCCCCGGAGGTCTCGATCCATCCCCAGGAGACGGGTATCTCATCCCGACCATGGTCTTTGAAGCCCCGGGACCCGGCGAGGGCCCCCAGAGGCAGAAAAATTGCAAAAACCAGCCGTCGTGACCTCTCCACGGCGCCAAGGGTCTGGGAAGAAAGGGCGACTGGGGGTCGATGCCTCTGCATCTCGGCCGGCCGGTTCCCCCCACCCCCCCCCCGGCGTCTCCCCGCGCCCCCGCCTCGGCGCGCGCAGAGCTCGCTGGGGAGCCAGCCCTATGGTGCGGGGAGGGGGCTCTTGGCGCCGACCTGAGGGACCTCCGCGCGTACCCTGCTTCGCCCGAGGTGGGAGGATGCCACCTAC